CTATTCAGCCTTTTTTGGACACAGTGTTGTAATATCAAGAGCCCATTTTTCAACATAGGTTTATGGCAAACATGAAAAATTTAGTAAAGGTTTATCTTTTCTGTTTGGAATACAATTACATGTTTTGTAAAGAAAACCATGATTATCAGGCCTCAGGAAAATTTTATGAAGAATTTCTCCCCTCCTACTTTCAATACAGACTACTGCTGATCTTGACCTAGTTTCTGTTTACCTTAAATATATACATATTGATGAATTTAGACCTCATGTCTCTTTTCTACTCAATACCATAAATCTGAGATTTATTTTAGAAAAGATGTTTATTTAACTAAATCCACGTTAGGTAGACAGAGATGGTGCCCCTGAAATGCCACAGACAGACAATTACAGATAAGCAAAATGGAATACAATCATAAATAGTCCCTCCTTGCTAACAAAAAAGGACATTTTTCTTTTGGAAGGTTTTATTCATCAGGACAAATTTATTGTATAGTCTAATACTAACAATAATTAGATGGGCTGGTGTGATTATGAATGAGTTTTTAAAAATATATGCGTAATATTTTTTATGAAAACATATAAATATATAAAGCTCACTTTTAAAAAGAATGACTACATATGTTGGTATTCATCATGTATTTAAAGTTGGCCTTAAAAATGGTAACTCATAATAAATTATTAAAAATTAGAGATTATTTATTACTATCTTGATATATTACTATCTTGATAATAGCTTTTAAAGATTTCCCCTCAAAATATAACTTAATGTGTACAATTTTATCTGCTTTTAAATATTGGCTAGACATTCCCCCTGCTTTATTTGGGTTTGATTGACAAAAATTGTATATATTTAGGTTGTGCATGATTTCTTTTAAAGGATGCAGTGTGATGATTTAATATACCTATTAAAGTATGTTGAGCAGACTTCTTTATTCTTGATCAAGCATGAATTTATCGTCTGACTTCAAATTTAACCTAATTTTAAAAGAGTCATTACACTTTAATGTTTAAATTTGAAACTTTATGGATTATTACAGTTAGAATATCCTGTTTTACTCATCTGTATTCTGATAAGATTTTAAACACAGGAATACTTTGTGGTTATATAGTTTATGATGATGTCCTTACTCTACCAAATTAGCTATCTCTAGTGAAAACTTCTTTTAGTCAAGATACACACTGGTGCTTCTTTAAAATGAATGAGTTATCTTTGGCCAACTCATGGCCAAACTCAACTATCTACATCTCCTTTTTCAAGGAAAGGTAATTGAGAAGTGGAAGCTTCCTTTCAGCAACTGGAATATGGATGACCACATTCTGGCTCTTACCAATCTTGTCAACCATGAAAATAAAACTGTCTTGATAAAACTGATAATCTTCTCAAGGTCATGGTCCGAGATCCAGTACATTGATAGTTTTCCTTGGTCTTTATTTAAAAAAATTTTTTTTTAACATTTATTTATTATTAAGAAACAGAGAGAGATAGAGCATGAGCATGGGAGGGGCAGAGAGAAGGGGAGATACAGAATCTGAAGCAGGCTCCCGGCTCTTAGCTGTCAGCACAGAGCTCAACACTGGGCTCAAACCCATGAGATCATGACCTGAGCCCAAGTCGGACACTTAACCAACTGAGCCACCTAGGCGCCCCTCCTTGGTCTTTAATTTAAAGGACCTCAAAGAATGTCTAAGAAAAATGTTTGACTATCACCTCGCTTGAAAGGAAAGCTAATCTGGTTTTATGAAGTTCCTTTTAATCCTAAATCTTCTTTTTTCCCTTCTCCAGATGAATCAGTGCTATCAGCATTCATAGTAATAGTGTTGCTGTTTTTGAAATTATGAGATCATATGAATTCTTGTTTTTCCATGGCATTTCCTTTTGTTGTCAGTAACTTAGTATACAGTGACTAAATAAATGAATTTTTGTACACGTAATTATAAATTCTTACTCAATAAATATTTGTAATAATATGTGCTAGGCTAGGAGCTAGAGATAGAAATGTAAATAGACTACATAGTCCCTTCCGTAAAGAGCTCACATTCTAGGATGATATTTAGATGTACTGTGTGTACCTGAATATATATGCATGTACAGACCCTTTTTTGTGAAAACTGCAGCTGACTTTCCCTTGTTGAAAAATCAACACATTGTTTAATTGTTAAAGGTAAAACTGACATTTGAGAATGCATATGCTGTGAAAAAGGAAACAACTCAACCAAAACAGAAAAAGACACAGTCGAACACAAGTGATTTAGTCAAACTTCTGTGGGGAGAAGAGGTTGAAGGGATCCAGCAAAATATCCTAAACACTCCTCATATCGTTATCTATCTCACACTACAGCTTGACTCGGAAACATCAAAGGAAGAGGTGAGTGCCTTCTCAAAAGTGCAAAGGAAAAGAATAAGTCTTTTCCTTTTATAGTCTTCCAGGTGAATAATAAGCACTTTTTTCAGTCATTCTGTGTCTTTATGGTTTTGGTATGTCTCTTACACAATCTTCTAATTGACAAACCTAATGAGTCCATTTATAGATTACTGAAATATTTGAATTTGTTTCTACCATCTTCTTCAAAAATTTCTATTTGAACTACTTTTTCCATAATATTTTCTTACCTGTTATTGGTTGCTGTAGTCTTTATTTCTATTTTTTTAGTAATTTTTCTTAAAATTTTGTCATGTTTATTTTAGCAGACTCTAAAGCAGTACCTTAACTCTTTTTTAAAATAATTCAAGGCCCTTGGTACACCTTAATTCCAATTTCCCCTCTTCACATACATGCTATTTTCCTCAGTATTTTCATGCTATCACTTTTTAAAAAATTCCGGAAATTGGGTGTAATTATACTAGTGTTACTACTATTAATTATTGTGACATTTTATATATTATAAAATATGTAAGTAATACATTATAAAAATGCTTATTTTATACATTGTATTCCATACAAATGGACCTTCTTTAAATTTACATAAATGCTTACCACTTTCTTTACTATCTTTCTTCTGTCTCTAGCTGTCCTTATTTGATCATTTTTCTTCTTCTTAAGACATATATTTTAGGTATTTCTTTTTAGTAAAAGTCTCTTGATGATAAATACTTTTTGTTGTTATTTATCTGATGATGTTGTTTTCACCTCCTCTTGAAAGGTGCTTTATAATTATTACTACATTGTGTTAGTCAAAATAGGCCAATCGTTGTAGCAACTCTGATGTCTTAGTGGCTTAACATAATAGTTTGTTTCTTATTTCAATATAAATGTTCCTGCTCATGTTGCTCGGTGGTCAGAGCCCTTCATCTAGTGGTTCCATGATTTCCAAAGGCTTCAGAGCCGTAGATCATTTTGCATCTAGTTCACCAATGAAAGAAGAGAGAAAGCATTTAATATCTCATGGGACATTTCCGAGTCCTAGCTTAAAAATTAGAATTTCACTTCTGCCCATGTTCCAGTGTCTAGAACTAGTCTCTCCCAATGCAAGGAGGTAAGAAAATGTAGTTTTTCTGTGTGGCTGAGAAGAAGATGAAGTTAACGCATACTATTGCTTATTTCATTCAGGTAGAAAGTTATTTTCTCTACTGGTAGTCTTGTCTTAGTGATTTTATACTTTATTTCTATAAGTATTTCATGTATATTCTGTGTTCTTCTGTATCCTTTATCTGCCCATTCTACCAACTCTGAGTCCTCTACGTCCTAAGACTTGTGGTGGTTTGCCTTCTTGTGTCCTTGGTGATCACTGACTAAACTTAACTGCTTGATTTTTATCTTTGGGAGTCCTTTGGTTTAAAAGTGGGAATGCCTTCCTCCAGAGAGAATTTGCTGCTTCTGCTTCTGCCTCTGACCTAGGGTACTTCAGCCTTACTCAAGAATCCGGGTTTAACACAATGGTGCTAAGTTCAGCTTACCTACCTAGGCACTAGCTCAATACTCAGTGTCCTGACTGACACTATTGTAGGCATCAACCCTCAAAGCAGCCCTGCCTCTGTCCTTCGGCCCACCATTCACCACTCCCACCACTCCCAGAACTTTGCAGTTCTGGGAAGGGGCTTGAAAGGGTATGGAGAAGATGTCCTTCTTATATATCTAGCAGTTCAACAAGTTATGTTCGAGCCATAACTCTACTTGTTTTACAGCGTAAGGGTCTCTCAAAGCATCTAGTTTACCATAATGCTTCAAGCACAAGGGAGATCTAAAAAGTTTTTACCTAATTTACATTTCTTTGCTTTTGAAATCCTTGCAGCCTATATTCTCATTGCCAAAGCCATTTTATCCAAGGAGTGTGTTTCCTCATCTTGCTTCTTCTTTTTTTTTTAAATTTTTTTCAAAAGTGTTGCTTCTTTGTATATCAAAATTTAGTCAATAATTGAAATGGAAAAGAAAGGATTTACTTATGTGTATTTTTTATAATTTTCTGTGTTCTGAAAACAGAAAGACCTAAAGTTAATTATTCTGATTTCTTGCATGTATTACTAGTTAAATGAGAAATTTAACCATTTATTATATAAAAACACACAACAAAATCCTGGGATGCTAACACTCTGAAACTTTCTAGGTCATCCTGGAGTAGAATACTGCTGAGGCCTTTTGTCATCTTTGCCTTTCTTTCCATGGGAAAGTGTGTAGACGTCTCTCAAATGAACAAGTTTCTGTCTGTTGACAGCCTTGTATCAACACTGTAATTAGGAGAGGCTTTTTATTCTTACTGAACAGAGTGGAAGCTGCTGCAAATGCATGCCACTAACAAGTGCCTAAAAAGACAGCTAATTAAACTGGTTAGAAACTGTTGAGTTTGCCAGGTCCTTAACAGTGAGGCTTTCTGGGCTGGTTGCTGCAGAGGTTGGAATAGAGACTTTTTCAAATGACTTTTTTTACTAATATGACTTAGCATACAATAAAATGTCATAGGGTCATTTAGTTTTCATGTGAGTTACATAGTTAATAACTTGTATTCTCCAAGTTATAAGATTTGAAAATTTCAAAAACTTAATCAAAGAGTATATGGTTATTTGTTTAAAGTGGTGTTTGGTATTTGACCAAATGCAATAAGTGTATTTACTAGTCAAGGTTTAACTTTACTAAGTAAGCATAACAGAAGAGCTTAACTGATGTTGGCTTAATTTTTAAAGATAGGATTTTTGTAACTGTTTTACAGTAGAAATATTGCAAGAAAATTTGAGGGTTAGGCAGAGTGTATTTGGCCAACATATTCTATAGCAATTTGCATATATTGAATGTGCTTAATAAGTATAAAAAAAGGTGTGTCCAGTTTATTAATTATTTGTATTTGTCATGATGTAAAAGTTGCCAAGACATGGACTCTAAGTCACATAATTATTTCTTGTAACGAGAGATCAAAATAAGATGTAGAACACTCTTTAGAGAGAGGATCAAGGAAAAGATGCAAGTTAGGAGTTTGGCTTTTCAATAGTGACTGTATTAATATTTACAGATATTAAATATTAAATAGCATAACTGGGAGCTACTTTGAATTCTCTATGATTTCATATAGAAATTTTTATTTTGCCTGCTTTTAATTTAACCTGTGAGGAAAATAGCATGTTGTTTTAACAACAGAAAAGTGAGGTACAGAATGATTCATTCCTTTGTGTAAAAGATCTAGCACAATGCCTATCCTGATTTTGAAATTTATTTTATTTTATGAAAACTGTTTGTTTCTTGGGAACATGCTTTTCTTGAAAGCAAAAAAATATATATTAAGCATTTTGTGAATTATCTTATAGATCTAGTTTTTTCCATAATTTAAAATGTGCTTTCTTTTAAAGTTTAATTTGTGGTGGGCAAACCCTTTTACATTTAAGACAGATAAGATATTATAATATCATAATACTGCTTTCTCTCTACTTGCACTACTTTCATTTTGTATTCTTACTTTGTAAATTTAATTGTAGTACCGTCTTATGTTTGAATAAGGATTTAATGATTTCACCAAAGATGATGATTATCTTTTAAATGTCAGTAATGAAAGTAATTAAAATTAAAGACTCTTACAAGTTACATGTGGTATCCATACAGATACACTACCACAGGAGATCAGAAAATTTGAGTAATCAAATATAATAAAATATTATTATTAGAATTTATTGTAAAGGAGATTAAAGTTTAAAACATTGAAATTAATTGTAATTATTCTAACTAATGAGTGTCCTACTCAGTATATATTTTGGTATTATGACCAATTTTGACAGTTTGTAACTGACTTCCAAATGTAGTGTTTTAAATACTAAGTAATGTGTTAAAATTCCAGACATACTTCCTTTCTTGTGTTTGTTTGAATGAAACTTCCCCTGAAGCTGAAAGGATTCATTTTTTTGTTCTTTTCTTAATAGTACAAAGCCTGAAGTTTCCATGACAAAAGTAATGGTTGGAAAATTTGCGGGGGGGTTGATCACTTCTCTTTCTTTTCATTTAACAGCAGGAAATTCTTTATCATTATCCAGTTTCTGATGCATCTCAGAAACTGAAAAGTGTGAGAGGGATATTTCTCACACTCTGTGACATGTTGGAAAATGTAACTGGGACTCAAGTTACTAGGTAAGAATTGATTTTTATTTAGCTTTTATTCTATTTCTTGCAAGTTCTGTACCTTGGTTCTGACAAAATACTAATACAAGTACTGTTATACAAATATATTTGTATCTATAATGTAGATATCTACATAGCAGATATGATGTCTGCAGATATTTTGTTTCTTACCTAACATTTCTACTGGTCACCTATAAGGTGTAAGTTCTCAATACAGCTGTAGATCTGGGTGTTTGGCATACTTTAAATAACAAATTTGGACTAATGACATATATTGTAGCATTTATTCATGAAGGTGGTATTTCTTAAGCATTACATTATGTTGAGTCTGAGCTCTTTCATGTTTTTGTCTTGATTATTAATTTGCTAGGCAATACTCCTGTGGTTGGTAAGAATGACTGAACACTGCATTTTTCATGTAGTTCAAAATAGTCTGTTCTACAACAATGACAGAAAAAAACACAATACACATACACTTTAAGAAGAGGAGCCAGAATGTTCCTTGTATCATCTATGCAAGTTAACTTGATGAATAAACAAGACTGATGTGACATAATTTTTTGAAAAATAAAATATACCATATACTCAGTTATAGAGCCACACATCCCATTCAAAGTCGATTTAGTAAGCCCCGACTTTGAAATGCCACAGTTAACTTATGGGAGGAGGATGCTCAAAACTTGGTTGAGTTTTGTTTTTTGTTTTTTTAATAAAATAAATCTAGGGATTACAAACCATTTTTCTTTCTTAATATTTCAAAAGTTTTAGAAATATAAAGTTGGATTTTCTAAGGAACTTTTCCCATCTTTTGGTAAAAATGACACCTCTAAGATTCTAAAAGATAAGATCTGCAGGATAATAGCAAGAAGAATTTCCTTGTTTTCTAAATAAAAGTCATGTTTAATTCTGGGACTCATTTTCCAGACACTAGTAACTGAGGCTATATTTAATATATAAATTTGCATTCAAAAACACATGTTGTGGGGCGCCTGGGTGGCGCAGTCGGTTGAGCGTCCGACTTCAGCCAGGTCACGATCTCGCGGTCCGCGGGTTCGAGCCCCGCGTCGGGCTCTGGGCTGATGGCTCGGAGCCTGGAGCCTGTTTCCGATTCTGTGTCTCCCTCTCTTTCTCTGCCCCTCCCCTGTTCATGCTCTGTCTCTCTCTGTCCCAAAAATAAATAAACGTTGAAAAAAAAAATTAAAAAAAAAAAAAAAACACATGTTGAGTAAAATCATATGGTATTTGTCTTTCTCTGACTTATTTCACTTATCATAATACTCTAGCTCCATATATGTCATTGCAAATGGCAAGATTTCTTTTTTTTATGGCTGAGTAATATTCCATTGTGTATATATATACCACCTCTTCTTTATCCATTCATCAGTCAGTGGACATTTAGGCTCTTCCATAATTTAGTTGTTGTAGATAATGTTGCTTGTAGATAATGTTGCTATAAACATTGAGGTGTATATATCCCTTTGAATTAGTGTTTTAGTAATCTTTGGGAAAATACTTAGTGCAATTGCTAGATGGTAGGGTAGTTCTATTTTTAACTTTTTGAGGAACTTTCCTACTGTTTTCCAGAGCATCTGCACCAGTTTGCATTCCCCTCAACAATGCAAGAGGGTTCCCTTTTCTCTGCCAGCACCTATTGTGTCTTGTACTGTTGGTTTTAGCCATTCTGATAGGTATGAGGTCATACCTCATTATAGTATTGATTTGCATTTCCCTGGTAATGAGTGATGTTGAACATCTTCTCATGTGTCTGTTGGCCATCTGTATGTCTTCTTTGGAAAAATGTCTATTCATGTCTTCTGCCCATTTTTTTAGTTGGATTATTTGTTTTTTGGTCGTTGAGTTTTATAAGTTCTTTATGTATTTTGGATACTAACCCTTTATCAGATACGTAATTTGCAAATATCTCCTCCCATTCCATAGATTGCCTTTTAGTTTTGTTGACTGTTTCCTTCACTGTGCAGAAGCTTATTTTGATGATGTCCCAGTAGTTTATTTTTGCTTTTGTTTTCGTTGCCTTAGGAGACATATCTAGAAGTAAGTTGCTACAGCCAATGTCAAAGAAGTTACTGCCTGTGTTCTCCTTTAGGATTTTAATGGTTTCCTGTCTCACATTTAGATCTTTCATCCATTTTGAGTTTATTTTTGTGTATGGTGTAAGAAAGTGGTCCAGTTTCATTCTTCTCCATGTTGCTGTCCAGTTTTCCCAACACCATTTGTTGAAGAAACAGTCTTTTTTCCCATTGGATATTCTTTTTTTCCTCTTTGTTGGAGATTAATTGACCATATAGGTTTGGGTTTGTTTCTGGTTTTTCTATTCTGTGCCGTTGATCTATGTGTCTGTTTTTATGCCTATACCAAACTGTCTTGATCACTACAGCTTTGTAATAAAACTTAAAGTCTAGAATTGTGATGTCTCTAGCTTTGCTTTTCTTTTTCAAGATTACTTTAGGGGTGCCTGGGTGGCTCAGTCTGTTAAGCGTCCGACTTCGGCTCAGGTCATGATCTCACGGTCCGTGAGTTTGAGCCCTGTGTTGGGGTCTGTGCTGACAGCTCAGCAAGACCTTGTCTTGTTCCTGACCATAGAGGCAAATCTCTCAGTTTTTCCCCACTGAGGATGATATTAACTGCAGGTTTCTCATATAAGGCCTTTATTATGTTGAGATATGTTCTCTATAAACCTGCTTTGTTGAGGATTTTTATCATGAGTGAATGTTGTACTTTGTCAAATGCTTTTTCCTCCTCTATTGAAATGATATTTTTTAATTTTTATTAATGTGGTGTGTCACGTTGATTGATTTGCAAATATTGAACCTCCCTTGCAACTCAGGAATAAATCCCACTTGATTGTGGTGAATGATTTTTTTGTAATGTTTGTTTATTTTTGAGAGAGAGAGAGAGAGAGAGAGAAAGAAAGGGGGGAGGGGTAGAGAGAAAGAGGGACAGACAGACGCTGACATCAGCGAGCCCAATGTGGTGCTTGAACCAATGAACTGGGAGATCATGATCTGAGCCAAAGTCAGACACTCGACCAACTGAGTTGAGGCAACACAGGTGCCCCCATGAATGATTTTTTTTAATGTGTTGTTGGATTCAGTTTGCTAGTAGTTTATTGAGAATTTTTGCATACACGTTTATCAGAGATATTGGCCTAATGTTCTCTTTTTTAGTGGAGTCTTTATCTTTGCAACAACACAGATGGAGCTAGAGAGTATTATGCTAAGCTAAATAAGTCAGAGAAAGACAAATACCAAACGATTTCACTCATATTTGGAATTTAAGAAACAAAACAAGTTAGCAAAGAGAAAATAAAATGAGAGAGCTAGGCAAACTAAGAAACAGACTTTTAACTATAGAGAACAAACTGCTGGTTACCAGGTGGGAAGTTGGTGGGAGAATAGGTAAAATAGATGATCGGGATTAAGGAATGCACTTGCTGTGATGAACGCTGGGTGATGTATGGAAGTGTTGAATCACTGTATTATACACCTGAAACTAATATTACACTGTATGTTTAATTGGAATTTAAAGGATTTTTAAAATTTATTTTATGTCTTTATAAATAGTTATTTAATTTTGAGAGAGACACAAAGCACAAGTGGAGGAGAGGCAGAGAGAGAGGGAGAGAGAGAATCCCAGCAGGCTCTGTGCTGTCAGTGAAGAACCCGACACATTGCTCGATCCCACGATCGATGAACAATGAGATCATGACCTGAGCTGAATCAAGAGGTGGACACTTAACCATCTGAACCACCCAGGAGCCCCAACTAACTGGAATTTAAATAAAACTTAACAAAAATTTAAAAAATATAATGATAGTAATGCCTGAAGACGATATTAAAAAGATTAAAAAATACAATGTCTAGCAAATAGTATGCACTTGATTATAATAAAAAATAATAACAATAACAAATAGTATGTATTAAACATTAGAGAAAAAAATTAAAATAATGATATGAAAAAATATGAAATATGTTGCAGGCCTCCTTTTATTTTTTATTTTTACTTTTTAAATGTTTCTTTATTTTTTTTGAGAGAGAGAGAAAGAGGATGCCCATAGGGAGGGGCAGAAAGAGAGAGGGAGAGAGAGAATCCCAAGCAGGCTCCATGTTCAGCATGGCGCCCAGCACAGGGCTCAATTTCACGACCATGAGATCATAACCTGAGCCGACATCAAGAGTCAGTTGCTTAACTGACTGAGTCACCCAGGTGCCCTCCTTTTATTTTTTTTAAACAGCTTTATTGAGACATCATTCATTTATCATACAATTTGCCCATTTAAAGCGTACAATTTGGCAACCATCACCACAGTCAATTTTAGAATATTTTCATGATACCCAAATAAAAACCTATACCGGACATTTCATGTGAATGAAATCATAATACATGCTTATTTATGACTGGCTTCTTAGGATAATGTTTTCAAAGTTCAGGCCTCCTTTTTAATCTTATTGGAAAGAAATTTTGTTTTAAGTTTCTCCATGTGGATTTGATTTTTTCTTTTTACTCTAAAGGATAGATGTTATTTTACTTGATGTTTAGATCTTGTTATTAATGATAAGATATGGATTAAACATGTGGAAAACAGTAAATGTAGGTAGAAAAACTTTTTTGTAAAACAGTAAATATGAAAATGATTATTATTTCAGGGATTCCTTAGCAACATGTACGTCTTGTATACACAGTTTTAAAACTATAGTGATATTAATGTCTGAGTATAAAAAGAATCTAATATTTGTCAAAAAGCATATATATTTTTAAACTTTATTAAGACAAAAGTAATATTTCTTTTGAAAAAAATCTATTTAGCAATTCATGTTTAAAATCCCACACACTTATCTCTATTGTAGTATAGAATATACATTATATTCCAAGGACTCAACCAATGAAAACTGATGTGTGTATTCTCACTTAAAGAAAAAAAAAATACTAAAGAAAAAAAAAGGAAGGGGTACATCTAGGCGACTTAGTTAAGTGTCTGACTCTTGATTTTGGCTAAGGTCATAACCTCATTGTTCGTGAGATCAAACCCCCCATCGGGCTCTGTGCTGACAGCGCGGAGCCTGCTTGAGGTTCTCTTTCTCCCTCTCTCTCTCTCTGCCCCTTCCCTGCTTGCACACATGCACATGCTCTCTCCCTCTCAAAAATCAATAAACTTTAAAGCAAAAACAAACACTGAATATATTTTCTTCACACCATCTACCCGCATTACAAGAAGGATCATACTCTGCTTTCATAGTTCTTTATTATATCTCTTTTTAGAACACATTTAATATGTTTTCCAACTTGATTGAAGTAGAGTAAATTGCATATATGTAAAATATACAATTTGATCAGTTTTGACAGAGGTGTATGACCCTGAGACCATTACCACAATGAATATATACATTATCCCAAAAGTTTCCTTGAGTACATGTTTAAATCTGACTTATATTTTGGTTCTTTGTTTAAGTACATGTGCCCCATATTGAATTATCACTTGTGAGCTGGAACCATGTTGTCCTTTCTTTGTAATTTCTCTTAATAAATAGAAATTTCTCTTAATAAATAGGCAATCAGAAAAGATTTGGTAAATTAGCACAGTGATGGAAGCTTTCTTTTGGGAAAAAAATAATGTATAGTCACTTAATTTAGCAAAAGAATTTCAATACCTTTTACTGTAATGTGACTACTTTTGTTTGACCTGGAGCTTTTTATAGATATTTAAAAGAATATTTCAGAATACATTATTGTTGTTATACAATTCCTTGCCTTTTCTGTGTGACAGATAAATGCCAAGAAACTTGCTTATTAAGCATGCGGTTCTTAAATCATACCATGTGTAATCTTTTATGAGTGACTGTTTATAATTTTATGACATTTAAAGATATTCTGACTTTATTTTCACTCTATTTTTTCTTAGCTCATCCCTTCTTTTAAATGGGAAACAAATCCATGTGGCTTATTGGAAAGAATCTGACAAGTTGTTGTTAATTGGCCTGCCTGCTGAAGAGTAAGTTGAGATCTTTGTTTACCTTAAAATCTTTTCTAATATATTGCTAACAAAATCTGTTTCATTAAAAGTATGACATTTTTGTCAAAAGGCAAACTCCTTTAAACAGTCTTATGTTGGGGCACCTAGCTGGCTCAGTCTGGTTAAACCTCCAACTTCAGCTCAGGTCATGATCTCATGGTTGGTGGGTTTGAGTCCTGCATCAGGCTCTGTGCTGTCAGCTCAGAGCCTGGAACCTGCTTCAGATTCTGTGTCTCCCTCTCTCTCAGACCCTCCCCTGCTTGTGCTCTGTCTCTCTCTCTCTCTCAAAAATGAATAAACATTAAAAAAAATTTTTAATAAAAAAATAGTCTTATGTTTTAAATATCTGTTCCACTAGTGCAATAGCTACCTATGTTAATTTGATATTAAAAATATAAAAAGCGCTGGGAACACCCAGCTAGACCAATTAGTAAGAAGAAGGACTTTCAGCACACTTTCTTATGAGATGTGGCCAGTGTGAAGGTGGCTGAGAGATGACCTTCTCTGCTCAAACTTTTGACAAGATCGTGGTTTGGATTTTGTGTGTTCGGTTTTTTACTGTTGGAGATTTTGGAAAATTAAAAGTCAAGGAAAAAGGTGTTTGGCCATGATGTTGAGCACCTTTGACAAAATACAGTTGACCCTTAAACAACGTGGATTTGAATTGTGCTGATCCACTTATATGTGGGTTGTTTTCAATAAATATATTAGAAGGTTTTTTGGAGATTTGTGACAGTATGAAAAAGCTCACAGATGAACTACATAGTCTAGAAATATTGAAAATTTTGAGAAAAAGTTACATACGTCATGAATGCATAAAATATGTGTAGATACAGTCTGTTTTATCATTTACTACCATAAAATATACACAGATCTATTATTAAAAGTTAAAATTTATCAAAACTTAAATACTTACATGGAGCTATTCGCAATTGAGAGAAGTGTAAACAAATGTAAAGCTGCATTATTAAATCATAACTGCATAAAATTAACCATAGCACATACTGTACTACTGGAATAATCTTATTGCTATCTCCTATTGTTGCTGTTGCAGTGACCTCAAGTGTTACCTACTTACAACCCCCCGTGACGTTAATCATCTCTGTGTGAGCAGTTTGTCTTTCCAGTAAATTGCAGTAAAAAGTGATTTCTTGCAGTTCTTGCATATTTTTCTTCGTGCAATAGTGTAAACCTTGAATAACACCGTGGGACCCATATGAAATGCCACTAGTAATGCTGGAAATGCTCCCAAGAAGCAGACAAAAGTTAGGACATTACAAGAAAAAGTTAAATTGCTTGATATGTACTATTGATTGAGATCTGCAGCTGCAATTGGCCACCATTTCAACATAAATAAATCCTGCATGAGGGCCATTGTAAAAAAGGAAAGGAAATTCCTGAAGCAATCACTACAGTTAGGTCAGCATGTGCAAAAACATTGCACTTTTTGTGAAAAGATCTTTTTATCTCGTATTGAAAAAGCAATTTTTATGTAGGTGCAGGATTGCTAGAAGGAAGGCATACCTATAGACTAATATGATTTAAGAAAAAGCGGTCATGATATGACAACTTAAGGCAAAGGGAAGGTTAAGGATCTAAAGCAGGAGAATTTAATGCCAGCACAAAGGATGGTCTGACTATTTTAGAAGCAGGTTTAGCTTTAAAAATGTCAAGATATCAGGAGAAGCAGATTCTGCTAAGAGACTGCAGATGACTTCCCAGATGTCATTAAAAAAATCAGTGAGGAGGAAGGATATCTGCCTCAAGGTTTTTGTTTTTTGTTTTTTAATGTTTATTTATTTTTGAGAGAGTGCAAGTGGGAGAGGGGCAGAGAGAGGGGAACAGAGGATCTGAAGCGGGTCCTGCAATGACATCAGCAAGCCCAATGTGGGGCTTGAACTCATGAACCCCAAGATCATGACCTGAGCTTAAGTCAGACACTCAACCAACTGAGCCATCCAGGTGCGCCTCAAGGTTTTTAATACAGACAAAAGTGCCCTATTCTGGGAGAAAGAAAAATGTTGCATAGGACATTAGTTAAGAAGAAAAGTGAGCACCAGAATTTAAGGTGGGAAGGAATAGGCTAACTCTGTTTTGTGAAGACACAGTCAGGTTTATGATTAGGACTGCCCTTATGTATAAAGCTGCTAAGCCCCAAACCTTGAAAGGAAAAGATAAACACCAGTTGCCAGTCTTTTGGTTGTACAACAAGAAGGCCTGGGCAATGAGAATCCTTTTTCTGGACTGGTTCTGTTGATGCTTTGCCCCTGAAGTCAGGAAGTACTTCACCAGTAAGGGACTGCCTTTGAAAGTTCTTTTGATATTGGACAATGCCCCTGGCCACCCAGAACCCCATGAGTTCAGTACCAAAGATGTCAGTCTAATTGCCCCCAAACAAAACATCTCCAATTTAACCTCTAGATCAAGGGGTCACAAGGGCCTTTAGACATCATTACACATGGTACTCTATGGAAAGGATTGTCAATGCCGTGGAGGGGGACCCCAATAGAACATCATGAAAGTCTGGAAGGACTACACCACTGAAGATGCCATTGTTGTTATAGAAAAAGCCACAAAA